ATTGCGTCCGGGGGGTGGATGCCCCCGAGGGCACATTCATACTTGGTGCCCCAGTCCCGGATGGCTGGTTGGTGGTGCTTTTGTTTTGGCGCGTGTCATGGCTGGGTGTTGAATACTGTTCAATTATTTTAGTTTTGTTGTTGGAAAGGTCGGCTAATGTATTAATCGTAAGGGTATGGAAATGTCAGGTACGGCATTGTGATTTATTAAGCATCAAGAAGGACTCTTCCACTGATAGAAATAGATATAGATATAATAAAAACAAGACACCTGAGGCTATCAAGAAGCCATGCAAATATGCAAATTTTTCAGTTAACATATCCCCCAGAATTAATTCGTGATTTGAATGTTGATGAATCTTGGTGCGAGGGGCTGCCCACCATTTCCCACGGTTTACAGGGTCCCCGGTGGTCGGCAGGGGGTACTGCTTCTCCCGGCCATCATCACCTGTCCAGCAGTCTATAACCATTTCTCGATGGGAAAAGTCGTCATAAATGGGGTCGGCTTCTCTTCGTCACTCTCTCTTTCTGGCTCTGTCTCTCTTTTTCTCAATCTTTCTCTCTCTTGCTCTGGTTTGCTTCTAGACTTCGATGCTCACAGTTCGTCAGGACGCTCAAATAGTATTCTATAATTTTTATAAATGAGGTCGGCTACTTTTCGTTACTCTCCGTTTCTCTCCTGATCTCACCCATTCCTCTCTCTCTCTCTCTCTCTCTCTCTCTCTCTCTCTCTCTCGCTCTCTCTCTCTCCCTCTCTCTGTCGCCCTCTCTCACGCCCTCTCTTTCTCTCATCCTCTTCCTCGCTCTCTCGCTCTCTCGCTCGTTCTCACTCCCGCTCTCTATTTCACTCTTTCATCCTTTCTCTCACTCTCTCTCTATTTCTTTCTCACTCCCTCTCTCTCTCGCTCCTTCTCTCCCTCGAACTAGCTATCTCGCTATTTTTCCCCCATTCATAGCAAATTTTCTTTCAAATCTTCCAACCCATATTCCATAATCCCCTCATCCACTTACTCGTTTCCTAATTTCCAGCCCCATTTAAGTACACTATGCTACGAATCACCCACCCCCCCTAACTACCATACGACGCTGGGGGCACGTGTTCGTGTACCCATTAGGTAGGCGTCGAAAGGCGGCCGGAAGAAGCCATCGCATATGCCACCGGACACTTTTTGACCTGGGTCGCGCTAAACCGCGAAACAGATGGGTTATGTGCCGCCCAGGGCGGGCGTTGAACAGGTCGTCAATGCCATTCATTCTACAATTTTTGCTGTTTGGTAATTTTAAAGGTATCGTGCTTTCAGTTCGTAAATGCGCAAATCGCCTTTGAATTTGACAGTAGTCGAACGTAGAGATTCTCTTTTGTGTATCAGGTTGGATAATAAGTTTTGGCACAATTTTTTGAAATCGCTCGTTAAAATCGCAGATGTTTCCAATTCTGGAGTATGAGGTATGGATTGATAGGTCTCACAACCCTCTATTCTGGGAGGACCCTCAGTTGACGCAAAAATTGAGGGACGTCGAGATACAGCCCCGAAAAGGTTTTCACAAAATTACGCAAAAGCGTGTTAGCTAGTTATCCCTGCATAGAGCAATTTGCATGCGATACCTTTAACACCAATCGATAGCTGGAGTAGATATCGATAGATGTTGAGATCATCAAAATTGGATATCGGATGGCCGAGATACGACGCCTTGAAATTTGGCTCATTTCTTAGAACTTTTCTCGATTTCCCATACATTTGATAGCCCATAGCCAAAACTGACCGCTTGATTTGCAAAAGAACCGAGCGCATTTTGACCAAATGTATGGGATTTTGGGAAAAGTTCTAAGAAATGGGCCAAATTTCAAGGGGCCATATCTCGGCCATCCGATGTCCAATATTGATGATCTCAACATCTATCGATATCTACTTCCTCGAAAGCTATCGATTGGTGTTAAAGGTATCGCATGCAAATTGCTTTATGCAGAGCTAGCTTGCAAAATAGGTTTGGTACGTTTTTGAGGAAAACTTCTCGAAGCTCTATCTTGGCGACTCTCAATTTTTGGGTGCGAGGAGGGTCTACCCAGGGTAGAGCTCGAGGAGACCTATCAAACCATATATCACACTATTAATTTGGGCACATCTGCAGCTTTAACAAGCGATTCCAAAAAATTGTGACAGAACTTATTATCCAACCTGATATTACTGCTGATTTTCCAACCATAGCTGTCACTATCCCTTTAAAAACCAGCTTAAGGGCTACGGTATCTATGTATACAACAAGGTTTTTTATAGAGTCGGTTCAAAACAACACTGCAATCCCAACGGTGTCAATAGCTGTCGTCAGTACTTTTAACCCGGCACAGCTTTTCAGCGCATGTCCTAAGGATTGGGAGGATGGCCATGGCGATGGTGTAGGGGGTCCCGTGGGGAATGGCCTGTCATCGGGAACGGGTCGCGGGCCACGGGAATGGGTCCCCGGGGGTCCCTCTAGAAGATGTCCTCACCTCAACACCCCAACCCCGGCTTCTCCTCCCTTCTAACGCTGAGAATGCACGACTGGCCAGCTACACGACAGATGACCCCCTAGGCGCACTTTAGGGGGTGGAAGGGGTGGATGCGCGAATTTTGGATATTTCAGTAACATGAACTCTCAACTCGGCGGAAAGCGCGGGAAACGCTCAGCAAAAACCAGGAGAGCGAGAGAGAGAGAGAGAGAGAGAGAGAGAGAGAGAGAGAGAGAAAGATCCCAGGAAAGAGGGAGTAGATCAGATGCAATTTTAAAATTTAATCGAGATCTTCTGTTAATTCTCTTTAGCCTTCCCGACCCTTTAAAGGGGACAGGAAGTCATTTCCTGGCGACACCCGTCGAACTTATTGGCAAAGCTAAATGGACACTAACTAAATTAACCCAAAACCGTGGATCAGACTTTCTTTTGACCCTGTAAGCCCTTCTACATAATTTCTGAATAAATCTCGGCCCGCTACGAACTACCCGTGCTTAAAAACAACTTTTTTCCATTTCCAAAATCCTACATAAAAGGCCTATTGCTCCCTGCATTCCCCCGGTTTTCTATTTCTGCCCCTTCTTTCCCAATATTGTGGCGGGCGCCACGGTATTCTCGGGCGATGAGACGGTCGCCCCGTCACATTACAGGTATACTGTAGCCGCAGTGAAATTGCGCCTAGACAAAATAACCTCCTTTTCCAGCATCACAGTAATCGCAGAAGTCCACCCAGTATTTAGGACACCAAGTACGCTTGACTGGGCGAATCTTAGACCTGGGTCCTGCTCGGCTTGTAATTGCAGATTGGCGGCTTGAGACGGCCGCGAAATTCAAAGGGCCACCAATTTTGGTGTCACTGTCGTTAGGTGTCTAGAGTAGCGTTGTTGTTGGTTAAGAAGGTTTAGAAGACATACAGTATGGCTATATTCAGTTATTTTTAGCCTTTTATGTGCAGTCTTCGGCTCGGCGCTGCAAACCTGGTTTAACGAACATGATCTTATTCTGCTAATATTGAAATTTAAGGTAAAAATATTTTTTGAAACGTGAAAACCTCCTATTCCATAATTTTTCTGCCTTTTGCGGTACCTCGCCACTTATGAAAATAAGCATAAATACCTCAACCATTGGCTGAAAATTCGCGAGTTGGTGACCCGCCCATAGCAAGACTTATATTCCTAGTACCTCAGAATTTGCTTATTCTTTCCGTTCCTGTATCAAAATTCCTAAAAAACAAATTTGCATCTGCAACCCGAATTCCGGGACCCTATGAATCCCGTGGGATCGTAGGCAGCGACGTCCATAATTGGGCGAGACGCCCGGTCCCGACCCCGCCCCCTTTTTTGCGCTTCTCCCACCTTCGACGACCGCCCGCTGAATTCTCGACACATTGCTGGATGTTGACTGTCGTTTTCTAAAGTTTACAGCGTTATAAAGTACCATGTTTTTCCATATCTTTTCTGGTTAAAGGGCTGTGTAGGTATAGTCAGGTAATAGCCACGTTACGCGCACAGCGTCAACGCCGGGATAGTGGAATAATTTGGATTCAAATTACACACTTCAAGAAAAATAGATTCTTTCATATCACGTTTCTTGTGTTTTGCTTTTGATTCTCTTCTCTTCACCTCTTCTAATTAGCCTGTTATCTCGATACCGTATTTTTAAGTAATAGAGGATCTCTAGCGTTGAGATACAGTAGTTCCGGTAGATTCTAAGGCGCCTCCTGCCCTGCTAAAACAAGCTAAATCAGCCGCTTTTAAACTTAAAACATTTTAATCTCATCTTTTAATTAGAGCATCCGCTTCTGATATTATTATGCTCATGAGGAATGTATATTCCTTTTGTAAAAGGAGCATAACAGGCAAGAGTCCAGTTGTCCTAAAAACGCATTTTCAGAATTTAATGACTATAAAATTTCTTTCTCACTCTAAACCTCGTCCTCCTCATACATCAGAACTTCTTATGTGCTGGAATCCACGATCTCTCCTCCCGTCCCGATCTTCCCCAGCCTGGGTGGTCGAGAATGAAGCCCCCCCCCCCTCCACACCCTGATCGAGCACCCACCATCGGTCAAAAGGATCGTCCCGTATCCAGCAGGATACCCTCCTTTTCCGCTCTACCCAGAATTGGGTCGTCTTAGATGGCCTCCTCGACCGGCCCTCGTATGTGCTGCACCGGGCCCCCGTCTATCGAAGGGCCAATTTTTGGAATTGTGTCATCTGTCAAACCTCGATACGACCACATTTGCCTTCGACGAGGAAGAGCAGTGGGTGAAAAGCTCTTCGAAGCACCCTGGGTGGGCGAAGGGAGCTGGCTTTAGGGTATGGGAATTGGGGGAATTCAGTTTGTGCCTCATATTATTTGGAATTTAGGCAGGTTCAACTGAACCCTTACCTTCAAAAATTGGCTTAAAGGATTACTCAAGTGTTATCGATGTCTAACTATCAAATTATACTATTTCCTACTTTTATGTAACCCGAAAGCTTCATATCGTCTAATTTACATAGAATCCAGGAATGGACCGACTCGTCAATTTCCCGGTTTGCCGAGAACTGATCGGGCCGCTATCGACTTCATTCTTAAACACACCCGTGTTGGCGAACAAGGTAAGCTGATCGGCTTTTTTACCAAAGTAAAACCTTAATCAATTTATTAAACAAAGCCCAATCTTACAAGGCTCTAAAAAATCTACTCAAATTTTCAGTGGCCCCCGGTACTCCCTTTTCACGTCCAAAACCTCCTTGGCGCTTCGTTCCAAGATAGAAATGGTAAGTGATAAAATTATGTAAACTCAATGAAACTTATGTAGTGCAAGTTAATTCGAAAATTCCAGCCCCATTGTCAACTTCAACGTCCAGTGATGCGGACAGTTGTAAGCTGGATGATATGCTTTTGGAAGTAGGTTTCAACCATAATAAATCACGTATTTTTGTAGCACGAAACAACTAGCGAGCGGGAAATTGAGGAATCATCGGATATCGAGAAGATAGAGAGGGATAACGATGATACGGTAAGTCCCCGGGTGCTGTATCTAAAGCATGATATTAATTTTAGGTAGGGGTTCAGAGTTTAGGGTGCTTTTCCGTCGTTTTAACATCGATTAGTTTGTCTCTCGTATCATATTGTGTCATTTAGTCAGATTTAAAATAAAACATCTTATTCTATTTGAATATAATTCCAGCAATCACTTGACCGAGCAGCATCAGCCGCGAAGAGACGGGTGCTTTGCGAAATTTGCAACAAAACGTTTTGTGACAAGGTACGGTAACAACCCGTTTTAGCTTCTTAGCTAAGAAAGACAAGGAACGCTCATTCAAATTTTCAGGGTGCCCTAAAAATCCACACATCCGCAGTGCACCTGAAAGAAATGCACCGGTGTACGGTACCGGGATGCGGGAAGGAATTTAGCAGCCGGCGGAGTCGGTGAGTTTTTATGCAAAGCGTTTTGCTTAAAATTCAGCAGCATTATTACAATTAAAACTGCATTTTCATGGGATCCGAAAAAACAGGCAAAACCTGCTTAATTCAAATGACTAACCCTCCAGCGGTTTTCTTAAATTATTCGGTTTTTGGCATGTTATGGTTTTTGGACCGGAGGTTTACATTTCGATATAACTGATAATCCCTAGCTAATAAAGATTGCGCGGCTTAAATAAATAACTGAGTTTTAATTACATTTTTTTGCATTATTCAGAAATCGCCACTCCATGAACACCAACCCCAAACTCCACATCTCCGACTCCTCAGCCCTTGCGGCCACGGAAAGCGGGGCATTCTCCAAATTCCACCGCCTACAGTACCTCCCTCATTTGGTGGTCTTTATTTCCATTAACATAACAGTAATTTAGTCCGCCCGGCCGCCTATGCCTTTTGTATTGCCCTCCACATCACAAATCGTCTTTCAACGGATGCCGGAAACTGCGGAATCTAGGTTGCAGAATTTAGAAGGTGGTGTTTCAGAGGTAAGCTGGTAACTTATACAAAAATTAAGTTTTTTTCTAGAAATCCGGGCTTTCTGAGCAAGCACCACGGAAACGAAAGGCTCCAGCGAAATTTGAACGGGCTGAGCTTCAACTGCAAAGCTTGCAAAAGGTAGGTATAGTTATTTAATGTAAAAAAATCGTTAAATTTTGAAGATAAGCGGCTTATAGCGGACCTATACTAAACTCATAAAATTTAGCCCTTTGCCTTAAACTCATTGGCCAATGCAAATCCTGGAATGCATCTACTACTCCTCCAGCAACTATTACAGGTTTGATCATGTCGGTTTCGAATTAAACTAATATTCTAATTCCAGAATTCACAACATTTCACCCATCCAATGCTGGGCTTATTAGCGAAAAAATAAGAAAAATATTCTCAACACTTGGTTTTTGTATATTGCCTTTTATTTTTGATTTCCCGTCAATTCCGTTGCCGCCTCACTGCTTTCCCTGACAGCATTCCATTACAGTGCCATTTTCACGATATGATCGAATGCTCGGTGTGTTTTTTTGCTGTCCTCCTCCCCGGTTAGAAATATATTGCCTAGCTATGTTTATGTAGATATTATGGATGAATAAATGTATTGGTTATAAAGAAAATGTATTTCGGTGTACTTCGTACGCTCTCATGAAAAATGTCACCATTCCTTTAAAGCGATGGTAAGAGCGTAGTTATGAAGTTTTTTTGCCTATGTTTTGCTAAATTACCGCTCGGCTACAGTAAGCGGTCGTATTTGATTACGCCATGCGCAAAAAACAGCTACATATTTGAGAAAAAATGTTTCGCGGCAAACACGACCGTTTGGTGCATGGGCCTTACATGTGGTAAACGATTTAATTTTGTCGAAATATCATTTTTTTGCAGGTTTAGATGCCTTTTTCGCCTAGTTTATTTAGCGTTTCATTTTACGTTCAGTAAATTGAAATGCAGCGCATTGAAATTTCGACAAAATTATATTTGGACAAAATGCTATTTCGACAAAATGTGGTTCGACGAATGGAAGAAATGAAAATAAGCCATCGTAAGCCCTTATAAGGCTCTTAATTCACCGATTTCGATCGTTAAGGGTGCTCTTTGTAGCTTAAAACAGTTAAAATCCTCGTAGTTCCTCAGGGATTCCAGAATGACCTCGAAATTTGCAAATTGACGCGATTTCACAGTAACACCTCGAAGCAGCGGCTGAAAAAACCTGTCGAGGACGCGTTTCGACCGTCTTTGATAGTTCCAGTATTCAACGCGGGAGCGGGTGTTCCAGACTTCTCAGTCCCCTTAACAATGTCTCTTTCAGACTAATCATTAGCTCTTGGGTTCAACTTCTCGTAAAAAAACCCCATCCAACAAATTGGCTTTCCACGAGAAATACCCCCCAACGAACCCCCAATCGACACAGCCCCTGGTGTCTCTGTGGATTCCAGGGATTTTTGCCTCCCCTTCTTTTTTTATCGTTGGATGTGAGGAAAAGAAGGAAGGCCCACACAAGGCCCGTCCACCGCCCCCAACCCTCCCTTTTTTCGATCGATTTTTTAGGGACCAACGGAAGAGAGGGAGGGCCCATAGAGGGCCCAGCTTGAGCGAGCAGAAGCCCCCGCCCTCCTCCTCCTCCTCCTCCATCCTCGTCTGGGTCTTTCCCTTCTGATCTCCATTCCCCCAAGTCCGTCCCTTTCCACCATCAAAACCTCTACCAGCTTCAGACCAACCGAAAAGAAGTAAGAAAATGGCCGGAACTGCTGATGCTGCTGTGAGTTGTTTTTTCAAGGGGTTGTTTTTGGGTGCTTTATAGGGGCGGTATGTTGCTTTGTGTTTTTGTTTCGGTTATTTATTTATAGGATATTTGAAGGGTTAGATTAATAGTAAAGTAAGCAACATACTCAAAATTTCCTGCTGTAGATGATAGATACAGTAATACATAGTTTTTAAGTTCAGAGCCAGCTTAGAAGAATTTAAAGATTCTGAGGGCTAGTTGATTCTCAAAACTTTCGATCCATTTTCAGAAAAGAGAGAGAGAGAGAGAGAGAGAGAGAGAAAGAGCGAGAGAGAGAAAGAGAATGAGAGAGAGTTGGTATTTTTAGGGTTTTCAGTAGCCTTTTCCAACCCCAAACAAATAGCCAATTTTCAATTAGACCTTCAAGAAGCTCCTTCCAAATTTTCCGATGAAGCCGTATTTAACCTCTAAAATCACCCAATTCCTTACCCTTCCAATTTATTCGAATTTCTCGACCCGAAATCTAATTTCAATGCAAATGCTACTAGCCATTTACAACATATTACCAATATCTAGCCCGCCTCGCCATATACCCTCCCCCAAGAGTCATTTCCCAAGATCAAAAAAGCCCTGCGGTGGCCCCATGGCCTTCACCGGCGGACCCCCCATCCGGGGTGAGCAGCAGAGATATTGGGGCCCGCGCTAGGGGCCCACGGGCCCTAGGGCGAACCAAGGGGGGGGGGGGTGATGCATCGGCCCGCAAATTACTCGCCGAGCCTTTTCTCCACCCCACTCACACATCCGCACACATACATAGAAGGAAGGGAGGAAAGGAGGAGGAGAAGGACATACATACATACGGCAAGGATCAGCTCTGCCCTCCCTCCCAAATGCTCGCTTGCCATCCCATCCAATAGAATTAAGCGCTGGGCTGGCGGCGGCGGGGCATGGCACTACGGGAAAGGACAAATGACATGACATGTACGGCGGGGACTTTGGTGAGGTGCGCGGGGAATTGATTAAAGGGGCTGGGAAGTCAGGGAAACGGTGTTGGAGCCTCGATTTTTTGCAAAAAGTAAGCCCTTTTGGCTTAGAAACTATAGATAAAACCAAAATCAGAATCAATCATCGAAATCTCGGAAACGATCCTGGGGCTCCGGATCTGCGGTTAAAATGCAAATTTTCCAGACTTTGGAGTATAGTTTGTTGTAACTAATTTGAGTCAAAGTCAAAGATGCCAGAAAATGCTTGCAAATAGCATAAATCATCAGAAAGATCCTGGAGCCCCGATATTTCGAGGAAATGTTATAGTAGCTCGGCTCTCAGAACATGATTTATTTTTCAGTTTTTTTATAAAAAAACTTTACCTTGTATCTCCTCCTAAAACGAGCCACGAAAAGCAAAAAAAAAGCGCTCAGGGAGCACAGTCTTAGCTCAATCTCATTTTCACCTCAATTCTTGCTCCTCAACCAACATATGATGTGCCTCTGCCTAAACCCCATGGGTTTCTGGAGTGAAGTGGCGTGGGGTGCGGGCATTTCAGAAGAGAAAGCCCCCCAAACCAACGGAAGCCTCTCCATAATCCATAGTTTTTGGGGGGAGCAAGAGGACGTGGAGGAGGAGAAGCAGAAGCCTCCTAGAAAACGGAAGGGGTAGGGGCCCCAGGTGCGGGAGGGTCCCGCTGATGCCTTTTTGTCGGACCCCACACACAGCCATCCCCCCCCCCTCTTTTTGGCGCTCCGGGACCCTATTTCGAATTTTGGGGGAGAGTGGGCCCGAGGGCCCATCGAGGGGTGCCCAATTTTTGTGGCTGACTCTGGGGGGGTCTACTAGGCCGAGATTTGAAAAGGTTGGGGGGGGGGGGGGGGGGAAGGGCAGAGGGACTTTGGGGTCTGGGTTGTCTGGGTCTTAAAAATGGTTTTAAAGAAGGGGTTAAAAGGGTAGTGATTAAAAAATATCATTAAGAAATATGTCAATTTTTGGATGGATTAAGAACTCTAAATTACCCGGATTTTTTTAGAAGAACGCCCTCTCCTCAATCTTCGACAAGGCCAAGGAGGTCGTTGGCACCGCCGGTAAGAAATTTACGACTTCTTAAGTTTTATTGATAACATATGCATAAAAGGCTGGTAAAACATATTTGAAATCCGTGTTTTATAAAATTATTTTAGCCGAAACGACGAAAGGCTACGCCAGCCAAGCCCAACAGGCCATCGGCAAGGTCATTCCCGGCATGAGCGTCGACCAATCTGCTCAGGATCCGGTTAGTTCTACTCATTATAATCATCATTTAACTTATTCCAACACTCTCTATTTTTAAAGGGGCAGTGCCAGCAAGACTTCATCAAATTAACCCCCAATTTTTCAGTCTGCCGTCCAACCTGCGGCTCCCGGTACCGAGGGTGTCGCTCCGGCCGCTCCCCAGTAATAGACATTGAATTTCGAAGGATTTCCCAAAACCCCTAATTTCCGGGGCACTCCCCTTGCCCCTTCCCATCCCCCCAAAAAATTCTCGTGATACCGTACACTGCAAAATTCCCCCACTTTCCGTAGCCACCAGATTTCCGCACCCAACCAATCCCCCCGAATCTATTCTAGGAACAATTTCCGGCCCTTCCTATTTCCTTCATTTTCTATCACCCGACGTGGCGCGCCCTATCTTTCACTTTATACATGCGATTTAGAGGGTTTTGGAAGTCTAAATCAAGTTGATCCATTAATAAAAGCCTTCCAAATACCTTTAAACCCTCCCAATTTCACACGACCACTGTTGACCATTTCATATTGATCTCCTACACTCCTTTTGCTGGCTTGCCGATAGACACCTGTCACAACATCTCTTTTAAGGATAATAAATTGTTTAATAGACATCATTTATAATATAGTAATGTAGCACTTCAATTTGTTGTTTTGAGCAAAACCAGTACAACGGTTGCAATATAAAAAAATCGGGATAATTCGGCATTTTGGGGCGCTGGAATTTGGGGGAATCTGGGTATGTTGGTTGTTTTAGAGGACGTTGCCAAACTTAATGTATGGACGGTTTAAAGGGGCTATGAAGGCATGGATCGACAGCTGGATTTTGGGGCTTGTAGATTTATGCCTTGCCAGTGCCTTTAAAACGAGGCCATTGCACAAAATAGAGAATAAATATTTTAAAAGAGCAGTGAAGCAGTTAGAAATGGGTATTGGCAATGGTGTGGTAAGCGATTTGGAGGCCTTTAGGGGTGATGCTGAGCAGATAATCGACACGAAGACGGTCAGCCACCGGCCAGTTCTCTGGAGTATCGACCAGGCGACGGACCTAAAATTAAAATAAATATATTGAAATTATGCTTAATGATGCTATAGCTTATTTTCTAGAGTAGCTGAAATTATTTAATTTAACTAAATTGCCAGTAGAACTCACAATGCTTTGCAAACAATCAGCCCGCTGAGCGTCGAGCCACAATTTTGCTGCGTACTCGGTGTCGAAACGCTATAAAGAACAAAATAAATAAATTATGAAAATATTATATAAAGTGGATATAAAGGCCAGATACACTTTGTAAACCTACAGTTTGCGGGGAGAAAATGGTAAGTTCGAGGATATTTTTGGCGCGGGTCAAACTTCCGCCCCGATCTGCTTCAAGCTCCTTTCCACAGGCGAGAAGGGCACGAGAGTAGCTGAAAATAAAGCAACAATTAAAGAAGCAAGGCCAGCAAGCAAAACAAATGGCTATTAAATTTTTCGACTTACTAGGTCTCGTCTTTCAGCTGCGGGGCACGACCATCCATTTTGTGGTGGAGGAGGGTGCAGAGGGCCCTGAAATTATGTATTTTTGGAGATTTACTATTCATAATAATCAATATAAAGTTATATACATGCAATAATTTATATGGTACCTTAATGCATAGCGGCACAGCCCAACGTACTCGGTCTCCCCAGTGTCCAACTCGTTGCCCAGCGATTCCTGAAAATTAAAATAATTACGATTTACATTTTTCAATTTCGTTTGAATTTTTTAACCATGAAATAAAAATTACCGATAAAAACAGAAGTCGTGGATTTTCCGGAATTGTATAGAAATGGCCCTGAAGATTTGTCTCCCGGTATGCCAAAAGAATCTCCTGGAAAGGTTTGATTTTTTTTAAACTAACCCACACTTCCGAATCCCTTTCTAAGTTTTGTCGCCTACCTTAAAGTTCGTGCTCAAATGCTCAATAGCATCTGATTGAATGTTCTTCAGCGCTCCGAGGAGTTGGATCATAATGTAGGCGACGTGCTTCTCCTGATCGTTGGCGCTCAATTTCTAAAAATAAATGGGTTTACATTATTCTGGAGTTTTAAGACAAACCTTGCTGAGATTAAGTGCAGCCAGAGAGTGAAGGCTGAAGAGGTAGTGGTGGTTCATCACGACAGCTTTGGGATTTCTGATTGGTGCGGCGCAAGAATGAGCACGAGAGTTCTGAAATGGTTTGATAATTAGAAGATCAACTCCCAACACACCCTCAAAAACGATGAAATCGATCCATCATGATCTTCAATCTCCAAAAGGGCGGGGAGCCCCAGATCGGAGCGACGGCGCAATGGGCCGTATTGAGCTGATGGGGCAATCGAAAATTGGGAAATTATTGTTTTGGATTTGGGTGATTACCATTAAAATGACGGGCAAGTCTCCTTGGCGGCCCCTCGGGAGGGAAGCTTCATAGAAGAGGCATGGTCCCTTTGTTAGCAATGGTATGGGGCTACTGATGGTGAAGTGGTTGAAGTCGACATGTTCAGGTTTCGGGATGGCACCGTCGCGGAGATTGAGGTTTGAGCTGAGATTTTCAGAGACGTAGGCGAGGGCATTCATCGCAGATGAGGTCATCTGTAACGAGGAAGGTAAGTAGTTATTACTACCAGTCAATAGCTTACCTGATGGTACACAGCTTCCGTATCCTTATTCTTCGTGTGCGTATCTGGCGTACCGCGACCCTTCTGCGACTGGGAGGTCACATTTTCGAATTGGATTGGGTGCAAGATGGTGAGAGACGAGCGTGAGGCTAAAATGATCTTTTCCTAAAAACATTACAAAATTTTAAGTATCAAATGCCCCAAAAATATGTTATTTAACCTACCGCTTCGACTCTGATTACGCATTGGTGATGGGACTGGGGATCTTTCATTGCGCGAGCTAAAGTGAGAGCATTAATTAAATTAGATAATTATTAAATTAGTTACAAAAGTATAGAGGTAAATAATACTTACCCAGTGCGCCTTACATAGTGACCACTGGGGGTTGTTGATTTTGAAGAGTCCAGAGAATCGTTCTCGGACGTAAATACTCGTCGGTTCTGAAAAAAAGATAATTCTGAGTTAACTTTACGTCTTTATTATAATTTTTGCTTCAGGAGTAGTATTTTTTTGATTAATAAATTGATAAGATTGATGAGTTAATTGAGATTTACCTACACTAGCCCACAATATCGTGCCGTCGTTAGTCTTAATCCACACTTTCTAATATTTCGAGCCTTCTCTTCTTTCCTCTAGTCATAGGTCCACGAGTAGCATCGTATGGTGGGTTCATCCTTGCCTCCAGTTCTTCAAGATTCACTTCGCAGCGCGGAAAATGAGTCTCAAAATCCAGCGGCTTTGGCTTAGGCTTGATGATATAGGCCAATTTTGGAGCTGGCTCTTCAGCGATAACCCTCTCAACCGGAGCTTCAAAAAACTGGCGGCCCGGGACAAAATCCGGCGGGGTCAAGTACCCCTGAATATAGGTGGCCGGAGTGTAGAGTAAACGCTCAAGATGCGCAAAGTACGCCTCACTGCAGAATGGCAGGAGGGGTTGATAGTACAAATTCCGAGCGGGCGCGTCAGGGTCTGTAGGGGTGGTTTCGTACTCGTCTTCGCGTTTTGGTGTGGGAATGTAGGCGCGCTGGGGAGGAGGGAATTGCTTGCAGATTAGAAAGTTTGGACTGTTTGAAGTCGTCTCGATGTCTTCAGCTGGCTCTTCGTTGGAGATAATTTCAGCCGAGTCATCCGTGAGACGAAGTCGAAGACGGAGAGACTTGGAGGGCATTTTGCAGGGCTGGATTTCTTCGGTCATGTTTGGGCGAGTGCTGTGTGTTGGAATTTTTTGTTAGAAGAATGCGAGTAAAATAGCGTAAGCCAAAGCGGCGGATGAGCGAGACGGTGAATAACAAGTGAACATAGCAAAACAATTGATCGGAAAGGATGCGGGGTGCATTTCAATGGGTAGCGACTTTTGGAGGAGAGCGGTAGAGTTTTAGATACGGACATTTTTCTAATAAAAAGCCCAAAGCCCATTTTGTTCTGAAAAAAACTTTTCTTCAGATGCCCCTCTAATATGGTAAAATCTGTCAAAGTTTTATTCGCAATTTAGCTAAATGTGAATTGGAAATATGGGTTCTAGGTTTATGTTAAAGGAAATACAGTATCTTTAGCAAAACCAAAAAGAAAAAACAGAAAACGTGTGTGCATATTCCAGGCTCGTCCAGAAAAATGAGCTGTTTTGGCGCGCAAAAGGGGTATGAGTGGTATGAATTGAGGCGCCTGGATGGTATTTGAGTGTCAGGGCGCGAAAGGGCAACTCTGGTATTGAAATGAAGCCCACCCAGGGGCGACACCCCCGATCAATGGCAGCGATCCCGGAATGAGGGAGGCGCGTAAGGAGACAAGGATGTTGATGGTGAATCATAGTTGGGGATCGAGGGCAATTGAACTTACGGGTAATGCAAATCTTTGGGTTAGATTTATAGTTTGACAGGTCGTCTAAGGGTTATTATATTCATTTTAAAACCAATTTCGTTCTATCGTATCCCTACATTATCACTATTACCCACCAGTCCATTTCGGAATTTCACTTCATCATTGTAGATTGGTGCTGAGCGAGGTGGAGTTGGCGGATCATCATTCTAAAAAAGATCCAAATGCCTTTTAAAATTATAAACTTACAGGTGGTGTCGGATCCGGGGTCATAGCACAAGCCGGGGACACCGGAAGTGATGCCGGGTCATCGATATCTGTTTCTTTCACCCAACTGAAGATACTCAGAGTTATGTTAGAATTGTTTGATTACCGAGCATTGATAGAGCGTCGTGCTTTTGGGGTTGGGATTGTGACGGAAAGGGGCGGTGGTTTTGGGGCTTCAGGAGGCGGTGTTGAGCCTGGAATTTGGAACCAAACTTTTAAGAACCCAGGAAGAATTATCTAATTTTCAATCTGTATAAAAACACTAATACAAAAAAATTATGCTTTTGATACCTGTATGCGAGAGAGGGCTGGGTTCACGGCCAAACGAGGCTGGCGACTCATTTAGAAGCGTCTGAAGCAGGGGTATTGTATTTTGTAGTTTATTGTACTTCTTGAGTGTAGATTAGAGCCGCGCCATCATCCTGGTTACGGTGGATGGGGTCGTTGGGGCGACGGTGGATGGGGGAGAAGGCGCTTTCCCGTCGGAGTCCCTAAATCATGAAACGTTATCAAGGTCAGGTATATAGTTAAAGCGTGTATTGGAGTGTAGCGTTGCTATCACTAGACTACGCTTGGCTACTTTGGACTTTAGTACTTTATGCGACTTTACGTTTGAATTTTTGATTTGACTACCCCCTAAAACCAAACCTTTTGCTCAACATGATGCTCCCTGGGTGGCGACGCCGACCTCCTATAAAATCGTAGAATAGCGGAATGGCGCGGAACCCACATATTGTGCTGTGATTGTGGTGCGGTCGGGTCGACGGTGTAGCGGCGGGGGGACCGGAAATGGGTGACCCGGTCGGCACTCTGGAAATTCCCACCTTATAGCGCAAGAGCCTTTCTGTCAATAATTCGCGTGAATTTGGGGGTGTGGGTTGGGGGGCAGAAGCCGGGGTTGGCGGGTCTTTCTTTGCATTTTTTGGTATATTTTGGCGGTAGGTTCGGGAGAAGGCCCTAGGTTAGATGATAAAGTAAAATAAATCTTGCCTTATAGGTTCCTTTAAGACCTATTAATAGACTAATCTAAAAGCTGTCGCTCCTCTTACCTGATAAAATAAAGGTAGTGGCGCCATTTTTGTAGAAATAATGAATATTCTTCAAATATAGCTGATCAACCAAGTTTTCTGGTCTACTCCAAGCAGCTGGGGTGGAAATGAGAATTCTCTATGGGCAATACACAGACCCTCAAATGTGATGTCTTACTTGTTGGTCAGAAGGGGGAGGCCTATCCGCCCGCCTCCCTCTCAAACATTCCTCATCCTCATCCCCCCATCTACTACCAAAAAGCCGAGAAAAGCCCCCCATCCCTCTTCTGACAACAGTACACCCCCGTACTCATTCACCCTTAGCGCCAACAACAAAACATACAGCTTCGGGAAGGCTCTTCATTTCTGCTGGTACACCACCCCCGGAGATTTCGAGAGGAGGAGAGGAATCGGCTTTTGGTCTCTAGCTGGTTGGCGGTTTGCAGGGTTTGCAACGGGGGAAGACTGGAAGTTTGAAGGGAGCAGAATTTGTTAAGTAAGTGCGAGAACGAGAAAAAGAACCCATCTGCACCGCATCTGTAAGTTACCGAAAATTTGGTACTGGGCTGTTAGCGGGGGGAACCAAATATTTCCCAGTAATTTTCTACGGCCCTTTGACAAAACATAATCAATTATTATAGTACTTTATGTAATTTTAAGATATAAATGTTTCTAAAAATCATAGAAATTTTGGTAAATTTTTGACGTTTGGTGGAAGAGGTATGAAAAACGGCCAAAAAAGAAACAATTTCTAAATTTTTAAAAGTTTTTAAATATTTTTATAACTTTCTACGATCCAAAAATTAAAAACACTATAAAAATACACTATATAGTATCAACAAGTTGGTGGAACAGAAAAATCTCTTCTCCCGGGCCGCAATCCATTGAAAAGTACGCTCCCTTACACCTAATACCGCCGAAATTCCATTCCTTTTTTTCAAACCCTCACCCCGATCTACCACCCCCAGAATCCCTGACTAATCGTTTCCTGCCCCTCTACCAGAAATAGCGCTTAAACTGTTGAAGTGGATATGGGTCGGGTTGAGGGGACGCGTTTTGAGAGGCCCTCAAATAGAACTATGACACCAAGATAGAACAGATAGAGCAAGAGAAGAAAAGAGTTGACGTGGTGTGGGTTTTGGGTTTGTTGTCGTTGAACTGTTTTTGGAATCAGAGGGGAATGGCTGTAACAGGAAAAGCGTAAAAAATCGTAAATTACCTGAAAACGCGTAAGTAGTTGCTTGAAGTTGTTGGCCCTTGGTGGCATTTCCCGGGTGGTGCCGGGAGGGGATGGGGATCGGTGGTCGCTGAAAAGAATTTTAAAAATCTGGCATTAAATTCCGAAGGTTTCTAATTACGCGTAGGCTATTGGAGAGTAACGTACTCTAGCGTCTATATGGTTTTGGTGTCCTTAATGTTTCTAGACTTTTCTATACGGTTTTAAACAATTTCTTAGTCCTACATCGCATCATTGCCTTTTACTTATGTCTACAAAATTTTAAAATATCCCCTATACCAATTTCCCAGCTTTCCAAAGGTATCGGAACGGAGGTATCGTAACGTACTTTAGCGTCTCTAGGTTTGTTGGTTGATGTGCGTTGTTTTAAACAATTTTATTGTTATTTTATGAACATTTAATGCTTAAAATTAGACCATATCTGAAGAGTAGTTTTATATAGAGTTTTTCTTATTTTAAGAGAGATTACCTATGGCTATGAAAATTCCTAGGAAAAGTGGCACGTCTCAACACGGCTCTCGGATCGGGCCTATCCGTTATCGCAGCCAATTGATCGGTCGAATCGCGTGAATAATACCCAAGCAGCTTCACCGGATTCTGGGGCTCCGTTATGGCCGTCTCAACCATGGGATAGTATCCAATGAAGCTGACTGGTTTGTGTGGTCCCATAAATGACCGTCTAAGGCCCGGCCGGGGTTTTAGTTCGGGCTTTGGCTTTGGCTCGGTTTCGGTGAGCCTTCTGCGTAGACGACGGAACATTCCTGTTGACCAGGTGGACCGTGTGGGGGTCTATGTGGGCCTCTTCACGCGGGATGTGTCGCCTTTGAGGACCCGTAGGGGGACAAACAGGTCTGGTCGAAGATGATGGTGATGATGGTGGTTGCCACCTTTTCGGCCTCTAGGTCGATGTGAGATGGAGAGGAGGAAACGAGAGAGAAAAAAGAACAAATGCTACAAAAGAAACTAAAAAAGACATTAATCGCCAACTACTCACTTCAAAAAGCTAGCAGCTTTTCCAAATACAATTTTACAAAATTTATATGAAGGGATTTGAGATAACTCATGGCCATGCTAGTTTTAGCATGTTAAAAAATAGCCTTTGAGCGCTTCAGAAGCCGAGGATACCTTAATTGGAGCAGTAAACGGCTATAAGCATCATCACTGTCATTCTCATACAAATTTTGTAATTTAATTAAATGCGTAGCTACAAAAACATATTAGACTATCCTAATCCTTGCTCACTATATTTTCACAAATTTTGCTAAGGAAAACCATAAATCGCATTAATTAATTAAACCAAATTTTGAATATAAATTATTGTAAAGTTAATTGTCAGAAATACCGTAGGCAAAAGGTAAAGAATAATATTCCCTGAACGATGGATAAATAGATATAACCGCTAATGGGGGGAAATGCCGGGAGGTGGAAAGAGTTGTGTGTCGTTGTCTTGCCCCTGTTGGTTGGTGGCAAGAAGTGGTGAGGGGATGTCGTTAGATGAGAGACTCGTCAAGTGCACAAAAACTATCGTCGGCGGCCCTGTATGTAGAATCAACGCAATGAAATGTTAGCTTTTTAATGGTTAGGGAGTCCATAGTGCTTTAATAAGTTCTGTGAACCGGTTAAGAGTCTCTGAGGTTTTTATATACCTCTAATGGATTTTCCAAATCTTTTCGTAGCTTTAATGCTTCTAAGAGCTTGTGATACTTTCGAAGCACTTTTAAAAAAATTTTAGACCTTTAAGAGGCTCGGATACCTTTAAAAACTTTAAAATTCTTTCAATTTTCTTGACAAATTATGTACAATTTTAAGGCACCCTTTTTAATCCCAATTTTCTCACCTGAAATCAATCAAGCTGCTCCGGTCGTGACGGCCGCGGTCCTTTCCCCGGATTTTCCGGAAGATCACCGAGTCTGATTGATCTTCCTAAAAAAGAATAACAGTAAATATAATCCGAATAATTCGTAAAATGTAATCGTTTATATAAAATTTATGAATTATGCTAACTCGTTTAAAGAAGCCTGTGAGGAATTTATAAAAGCAAATAGTTGTCTTATAAAATATCTCTCTATTAAATAATCTTAGATTAATAATTAACGCTAAGTGATCGTACCCACCCATGGTTTCTCATAAAAGAACCCAAAATCCGCTTCACTACGTGCGGACATAGCCCGTTGAATCACACGATTGGCTCTAGGTGCCATTCTCGGCTTCAATAGTTTTCAAAGGGGGTACGGTAGAATAGCGAATAGGTTTGATATGCGAAATGGAGACGAAGTTGGCTTTCTTTCTCTGGTTTCTTGCTGGCTTTTGTTTACCCGCCCGATTGCCTCCGACCCGTCATAAGCCGCCGGAACCCGACGGCTGGACGTATGAAGAAAGGGGAGAATGTCTACAGAAAAATTGTTGGGTTTCTGGAGAGTGATAACCCGTACTTAGGATGATAATTGAGGTTAAGAATATCGAGGTTAAGTTACATAGTTTAAAAGGTAAGTTCCTAAGCGGGCCGGCTAGCAGTGATTTTTCAGGAACCAGTAAAAAGAACGTGAAAAGGGCTAACTTTTGCTTAAACCTTAAAAACAACATTTAGAAATTTGTTAAGGCGATGGTTCCTGACCTAAAATTCTGCGATTTAAATTATTTAATTCTTTATCCTAATTATTAATTTCTTAATTTTAAAAAATTCTGTTTTCTGATTAATTTATAAAAATTTTTGCGGGGAATTACGAAGCAGCATCGAGAGAATCGATACTGCCCCGTAACGTAAGCTTAAACCCTAAATGGCAAATCATCAATTAGAGATCATCCAGTAATTTCAAAAACCTCGTGCTCACAAATTAACTTTTAAAGTTTACTTCAAACCCTTAAAAAACCTTCAAGCCAAGGTCAACTCCAAAATACGAAACTCACCCAATTGCGCACTACACCGAAAGTACGTGTGACATTTCCAAATCCACGCAAACCCCCGTATTCATCCCCTCGTTTGGACTTTCAACTATCAATGCCCCGGCTTGAAGAGCCACTCGATCCCCTTTTTATCCGTCGGTCTAGGGCCCTCGAGTGGTCACAGGGCAAATATCGGAGCCGGGGAACGGTTTGTGGCTTTGAGGAGGGTGGATGAAATGATCCGATCTCAAAAGCTCCGAAAAGCACGTGCTATGCCAGGAAAGTGTGAGGTATTTTGAATTGGAGGGTTTTGGAGTGTTTGGGTTTGATCAGCGTTGGGTGATGTTATCGAGGTTGGTGATTCACGTTGATTCGAAGATTTTCTGAGAAATAAAAGGGCTAACCACTTGATCATCGGAAATCAGATACGTAAGCGAGTTCTAGCGGACTAAATTTTAACAAAATCATGGTTTCTACGATTACGACATCAAGGTCACGGTGTTTTATGCATCAAGGACTCATTTTTGAGATTTAAACGACGTTGTAAATTTTGGCGTAGCTTAATCGTTTTTGAAAAACCTCATTTAACTCTGATTTTTTAAAAGAACTATGAAGCCAAACCTGTGGAAGATGCAGGTTGATATGATCATAAATTGGGGAAGGTGGCGACGGCAGTACGCCTTGAGAGAGTTGCCGTGGTGGCAGCCCACGAACGGCACGAGGTCGTACCACCTGAAGGGCTCTTCAGTTAAATTTAAATCAGTTAAATTTCAGTTATACTTTTCGTACGCATGTGAGCAAGCTAGGAAAAAAGGGATGTTTACTGTCTCGCATTAAAAATTCGAATTTCCATACCTGTGGCGATAGCGGCACATAGGCTGTGGTTGGTAAGGTGTCCATTGTTGGTGAAAGGGTTTGGCCTGAAATACAGTAGACTAGATGGAGTTAAATTGGATTGAAACGCACGCAATCCCTCGGGACTAGCCCCAAGGCTATCGGTGCTGGCGGTTGATTGGCCGGCCGAGTTCTCGCGTCGATACGTCGAGAATGCTGACGTCGATGATGGGGCCAGCGATGAGGTGCCGGATGAAGGCTGCATTGGTGAAGCGTAGATTCGGCTGGAATGATCCAAATAAGGATAATTTTAGGGAAACCTGTTCGGCTAAATTATTTATTAATAAAAAACCTAAGAAGGCATATATTGATCACAAAAATCATATTCATAAATTGTCTTTCTTAAGAAAACTGGAATGATCCCTATCTGAGCAGTTTTTTAATACAGAAAAAGAGTATCTGAATCCCCTAGCTCAATGTATTTCGCGCTCAATAAATTGTTTAAAAATCAGTATAACTAACAATAAGCATGAGTCTCCAGATGCAAATTTACGCAAAAATACAAAAATACCTACTGGCTCGACTTTTTCTACATTGCAATTTTCGTGAAGCTACAAGGAAGACTAAATTTAATTTATTGCTAAAAATCAGAAAAAATGCACAATTATATAAAAAATTGGACACAAAATTTTCTGCAAGCCATAGACGCCCAAATAAGATTTTGCAGAGCTAGGCAAAACCCTGAAGGTCAGAGCCACGTTCCGTTTGAACGAGAAGTTTGGGAAGGGATAGCTTGGGATATCTTTTGCCCCCCACCGGAGCTGTCATTTCATGAAAGGCCGCCAGGGCCCTATGGATTCCGGGAAGATTGGCCACTTTTTCTGCCGACTATCCGATGAGGGGGGGATTGACGGCAATGGGAGCGGGGGGTCTTGTATTTGGCACTACGCGCCGCTCCAAGAGACGAAAGAGTGATTTTGCTGCTTTTCTGCTTACCGACCGATTCTGTGCACATAGGCAGCGCCGGGTGAGAGGTGAATTTACTTGTTAGCACGATGTGAATAGGGTTTTTGCGGAATTTTGTAAGGTTAAAAAGTGGAAAGCGTCTGAATCTACGTTTAAAATATAGTTAAGAGTTTTGCGAAAATTTTAAATTTCAATTCAAATGTATTCCAGCATAAAAATGCTTTTCTCGTGTATAAATAAAATAAAAAAGAGCACAACTAAATAAAATGAAATTTACGTTGCGCGTAGCATTTAAGAGATCCAAAATGAGTCAAGAACCACCTGTCACAATCCCTTTAAAATTAGACAAAAATTTCCATACCTCCTCCCTAGGTTTAACGACCCGTAGATCTTCTCCGATGGCGCGTAAAAAATAGAAGCCGGGGCGTGCTGCTCGATGCCTTTGCTAAAAACCGGGATTCAAATTTGGTATGCAAATTTCACCGGCATACTGAGCACACCGAGCTGCCACGCACCGTCGGCACGAACAGCTGGCAGCTGGCCATCACCTGAAAATAAAGAAAATAAGGATTTCCTGAGCATAAAAAGAACTTATAGCATAAATAATGGACACGTAGGTGCGCATTAAATGTTAACAAATGTGTTTTATTGTTAACCAGATGGTATTTAATTTAAAAAGAGGATTTAAAAGCCATTGAAAGGTTTGATGCTGTTGTAGTTTTACGTTTACTCCTACTATAATTTTAAAAGTAACTTAAAAATTCTAGAATTCTTGTAATCAATATTCCACCAAAATCGGCATACAAACTACATACAGTTGAACCCAAAAGCACCCCAGTTTTCCGTGATCACCCGGACCAACTTCTGGGAAAATAGCCGAGTGGTTGGGGGCAGGGAGAAAGAAAGAACCCGAAAAGAAACATAGGTGACCGAGAGCCAACAAATCCTTGACTCATTCATCTACTGCTAGGGCCCACTACGAGTGGCCCACACACATTTTAGAATACCACCACTCGAGGGCCGTGTTTTTCGGCTGGTTTAGTCATTGATTAAAGCAGTATCTAACGGATTCCCAGAATTTCAAAATTGAATCACAAAAACTCTAAAATTTTGCAGAATCCCGAAGTCAAAAGGCTTTTAAAGGGACTGGAAAGGCATAACCATAGAAGTCATTTTTCACTCAAATTCTTTATGAATTGAGAGACGACGACACGCAACGCAGGCGCTTCGTATCAGGATTTGTAGTCGTAAATTTTTTTATCATTGCCGAAAACACAAAAAAACTGGTTTTTGGGGCAAGATCAATCTATTTTAGCCGAATTTTTCGGATTTTCAACACGACGAAAATTACGAAAAATGCTCATGACGTAAAGCAAGACCCAAAAAAATCATTATTAAATTTCGAAAAGTTGGACCGGAATTTTGAGAAGTCATCGTGTTGAACGAGCTTATATTAGCGGGGAGAAAAGAAGATTTCTACAAGAGGACAATTAGAGTACAAATACGTTCAACTATCGTGTTCCTTCCAAAAAATATTATTACTAGCTTTTTAATTCTTGGTACACTTCCCAAATTTCTCACACTCTTAAAATCGGACCATTAACGCGCGAAAAACGATCGGCTGTCCGGTGGGGGTGGACGGCGCGGAATGGGCAATGGGCCGCTGGGCCGTTGAAAGGAGGAGACAAGTTTGCCGAAGCGATCGGCTGGGCCGCAAAGATGGCTGGGCCCACGCCAGCACACCCACCACCCGCGTCCGCGAGCACCATCCGCCCCAAAAGAGCAGGAAGCGGACGGTTAACCGCCCTCGGATGGGTGGGCGTGCCGGTGATTAACCCAAAATTGTGCCCGCAGGGTATGTCTGGATTTGAAAATAAATTCTGGAAATGTCTAGAAAAAATTGAAAGAAGCCAATACGATGCTAGGGTATCTTCATTTGACAAACCGCTATAAAGGGATTTCGGACATTTGTTTAGGTCAGAAGCTAAAAAATTGTCCTGAAAAATCTTCAAGCAGGCGGTTTCCTAGTTTTCCCTATTGATACAGTAAGCGGATACGTACCATTAAAGCGCATTATTCACAATAAAAATGGTCCAAAACGCCAGGATTAAGAAGACAATGATTAAAATGCTCACCAAAAACTTAGTATTCGTCTAGTGATGTAATAGCTGTGTTTTCTAGGATAAAAAAGATCGGTTTCAAAAACCATAATCCGATTAATAATAATCAAAATAAAATAAAAAAGCTTCTGAATGAAACGATAGTCTTTTTCCGATCAGCCACTGATCCGGTCTGATGAATGGCAATCGGCAAGGGCACACCGTCACAAAAGATCGGCGGACACTCTAAAACCGCGCAGTCTCAGCCCGTATCTCCATTCCACCGGATTCAAACTACAAAAACTGGTAAACAAAATTAATGAAAACGTTATTTTCAGACTACTGATAATCTTAAAGGGAGCGGAAAGATATATTTTTGTAAGTTATGCAATGTGATTCGCGTGCGTGCACCTGATCTTTTTAAAATATAGCTCTAAAACGGTGCAAGGCTTGAAACTAGCATATGCTAGACAACAAGGTGCCGGAGAATGTCAACAGGAAGCCTTAGGAAAAACGTTCAGCCCAATTGTGTCTAATTCGGCGTTAGAATATAGCTTTATAGAGGTAAAAAAACCACGTCTAACGCATTCTAGACATCAAGAAGTACGTGACAACGTCAGCAAGAAGCGCCACCCAAAAACCCCAAGCCAATTGGGTGTGCAGGTGGGGGAAAAGCTGGGGGGTGTTAGGTGAGGGTGGGTTGTTTGAAGGTCTAGAGGGGTGATGGTGGAGGTGGTGTGAACGTGTGTTCCCTCCAACACCTACCATGGCCGGTTCTGGGCTTTGGAAGCCGAGGGGGAATGGAGGTTATCTTTGGCCCTTCGAGGGCTGAAGTCAAGTGGACCCGGTTGGATTGGGGGTGGCGGGAACGTTTGTCGGTTGGTACCAGTCATCGCATATTTATAGTTTGAGCTTGAGGTCGGAATTTTATATATATTGATAGAAGCATTGAACGATGAGTTTATTAACAATTAATTTTCATTAATTTAGCAGCCTTCATAATTTTCTTTTAAGGTAATCAATAAATTTCGAAGCTGGTGAAGATGTCAATGTTTGTAAAATAGATATGAACATATATTAAGGTTAGTTATTATATTATTGTTAATATATAGAATATTAAATTATTTTATGGATTTTGCTATATTTCAAGGTATCTTATCAGCTTCATACAAAGCTTCTGAAAAGATGAAAACCGTTATTAAATTTTGGTTCATAAGTATTAGTCAGTATTCTTAATCCATTTTTACAGTTTTCATCAAACTCCTACCTATTTTTAAAGTATCCAATCGACTTGAAAAGTGGTAGAGGTGCAAATACAATCGTTTTCTAAAAAACCAATATAACTCTAATCAAATTCCTTAAATCCACAAAATAACAATCAATACTATTAACGGATATCTGCGGCAAAAATGAACGACGGGCCTGCGAAGAAAGGTGATAAGTTAGGAGAAGAAGCCGAGGGATAGAGCCAGAAGAAAAAGAAAGAAGACACAGACTGAGGGAGTGGCTCTCCTGGCGACTACGCCCCATTCCTATTTGCGTTGTGGAGATGGCCCGCGGATCCCCCCACTGCTACTCGAGTACCGTACACAAATAGTGCCACCAGCAGACAGACGACCCGGGATTTGGATTTGTCTAAGACGCGGTTTACATGATGTCTATGAAATTTATGATTTTGTGTTAGAATATCGACATTCAAATTTCGAAACTTACTTTGTGGAATGCCACTCTGTCGGCATTTTATTCGTCGATGTTTCCTTTTATCGAAACTTCATTTTTCGGAATTTAATTTTATTTTATTTATTAACATCTCGAATAATTTATGACTGTACAATGGCCCTGAGTTCTCATTTCGAATTGATTATTCCCATCTCTTATCCGTCGAGATACCATTTGTATTATCGGCTGGGGTTACTGTAGCTCCGTTTCCCTAAAAAATTGGAATTCTCACATTTGGCATTAACACTAACCACAGCTGTCACCGGTCCTTCTTCCTTTTCGATTTTCACAACATTTCCGGCTTCAGCTGCTGGGCCCTGAATTTTCAGATATTTCAATAAAAATATAAAAAAATATATCGAAATTCAAATAATTGTTTACCTCAGGTTTTGGTGGGGCTCTACCGCGCAGTCCTCCAATTAGAATCATCTCGACCTTAAATGTGTTTTGGTCATCTGAATAAAGTGTTGTACGGACCTTTCCTAGTGACACCTCAAACGCCGCACTCCAAAGAATAGCAATTAGATAGGTGAGAACAATGCAGGGTACACAGTACTCGGTGAACTAGAATTACGAAATAAGGTTGTCATTTATCGTTTGCTTACCGAATTGAAGAAATTCGACCAGATCAGATCGGTTTTGTGATTTCCGAGGAAGAACATGACAACGCAGATGTGGATGAGGTAGGCGCAATAGGTTAGTCGACCGAGTGGGATCCAGATATTCCATGACATGAAACGGTTGATGAAACCTGAAAAAGTTTTTGTTCAGAGGCTTATTCGCACCGGGCTAAGCTTTGGTTTTGCCTTTGCCTTAGGCCTCGGCTTAAGTTTAGGCTTAGGCTTAAATTAGATTTAGTGCTAGCCACCTTTTTATTTGTTGTTATTAATGTCCCTTTTGAAATTGAATCACTTACCTCCATAGCCGTAGTAAGAAGCGATAATCAGCCACGACAATCCAAAACCCCAAGCAGGGCGTGAAAACGCCGAATAGATAGCACGCCAGCCGACCGGCCAATCTTCACTAAAATTATTAAAAATTATATGCTACTCTTAGATTAAATTTCTCGAATACTAAGAACGTACTTTTTCACCCAGTCCTTCACGACCATCACAGCTATCAACATCAATCCCAGAGAGATCAGGAAAAGGACGATGTTTCCGATTTGTTTCACGAACTAAAATTCGAAATTTTATAGTTTTTTCAGAATTTCAGATATAACAAACATATGCTTAAAGCACATACCCTGTTCAGCTTCAGTTTTCCGGTGTACATCTGCAAGAAATATCCGACCCACATGCCCTGGATGTAGATTTGGCACCGAATCCATGGGGCGTTGTACATCACCATGTTGTAGTCCCTTAAAAATTGAATCACTAATTTCGAGTTTTTAGCTTTACATTCGATACACCAAATTAACGGATTAATAGAAAATTTACATACTGGTTCGTCATCCTTGGGTCTTGAATAATGCCGACGGTGTAATCGGTCAGAGGGTAGTGGTAATGCAACACACTGGCGATATTAATACCAGTTGACAGTATAAATATCCCTCCAGAAACGGCCATACCGAGGAACTACAACAAAATAACAATTTTTATCATATTTGAAGTATATTTATACCTTGTTGATCGCAAACGGTACTAAAATCAAAGGGGCAAAAATGTAGATCTGCAAATCTGTGGCCAGATACCAGGAGACCAGGTAGCACTTAATAATTATAGATTGGTTACCAAGATATTTTTTACCTGCTCTCGATAGTGCACAAAGTTTGTCAAATACAGCAGATTGACCCACCAGTTCTTCTGGCAGTTGTCCTCTCGCTAAAAAGGAAAATTTAACGTTTGTAAATCCTTACGGCTTGCAGAGGCAGTAGCAGTGGTGAACTTTGTAGCCAGGGTGGCAAGACAAAGGTATAGAACAAAATTACGAAGTAGTACGGCGGGGACAGGCTGGAAATTAATAGTTTTATGTTACTTGGGACCCGATACCGGAGGAGTCGATGAACATAAAACATTGTCCAGGCGAGGGGTGACATAGCGCGTCGCTTGTTCTTTTTGAAGTCCTTGAACCTGGAAAAAGAGGGTTTTGACTAATGTAATTTAATTTTGCATGTTATTTCAACTTTTAAAAGGCGTAAGACAACAAAATTAAACTAAACGCACCAAATAAAAGCCAGTAGAAGCCCCGATATGAAGAAAAATGAGTCGACGGCAAAATAGGAGTTGGTGAGGAATTGGGTGGCCAGATCGTGAGTCACATCAATGACATCCTGTGGGTTTGCTAAAATTTAATATATTGATTGTAAAATATCAATATAGCACAGTAAAATATAAAACTAATTTTTATTAAAACCCACAGCCAAGCGCGACGCTCATCGCCAAAATGTGGCCCATGATGACCCAAGACATCGAGAAAAATCGTATACAATGGATCGGGCCAATTTGTCCAGCCTGACGTGATAAGGATATTTTAATAATTTTAATTATACAAATTAATTAAATAAATTTTTAAATCAAATCCATGAAGCGATTTCTTACCTTATTTGATCCAGCGGTCGAGAAAATCTCCGAGACGTTTCGATAAAATGAAAAAGCCATAAATATCTTGAACCAGAGCGCTAGAAAAATAAAGTATACATACAATATCCTAAAAAAATCATACCTTTGCTAATTGGCAATTTTTTGGCTTCTTCTCCGTAGCTGTAGTCATAAATCCCGCTGATGAAACACAACGCAAAAATGGCAAGCATTGTTACACTAAATTCAAATTGCTTTTTGAGTGGCGTGTGGTAACAACTGACCCAACAATATATCCACCGGCAGGTACAGGCTTTTGCGAATCGTTGATCCATGTCACGCCACAGACCGGGTCGGCTTTGATGAGGTTGCTGCTATTTACTAAAAGGCAAAAATTTTGAAGCGAACACATAAATTTTCATATAAATATGAATTTAGTATAGGCATTAGCATTTACCTTCTACAGTATTTTAAGAACTCACTTAATCGGGGCAAGATGTCGTGCAGATATCCCTCAACCTCGTGTGAACGGCAAGTTGCAGGTAGGCAAAGGTCCAGTCCCCACTTGATCGAGCCGCAGGATCCATTTCCCTTGTAGTCCCGGAAGGCGAGGTCCAGGTAGAGGCTAAGCACCTATTAGTCTAAAATTAAGGTACCAACCGGAAATAGTCCCCTTGGAAGGCGCCCTTATCATCCTTGAATTTGATGTCTATACACTGATGATAAACACCAAAGAAGTGGAAATGTCCGCGAAAGATGCCGGCTCCGGGTTTGGCACTTGCGTCGAGGGCTGTAATTAGTTCGAGTTGTAAAAAAAGATAGAGAATTCAGTAAAAGATTTCATCGTTTTCGTTAACGCGTTTCTCACGTGCCTACTTTTTAAACTTTATTAAATTGGAAGCGGATCTGAAAGCTCAATTTTCTCGATTAAAATTTTGCTAATGACTATTCAACGGTAGAATATAATTTGCAAATAAATATCTCTAATTTAACAAATGTAAAAAATAATTAATTAGTAAATTTTTGGCATTTAAATGCGCAAAATACGCCAGCTAAAAAAGTCGTATTGGTCCACCTTGTTCAAAAATTCAGCTTTTTAAAAGGCAACTGCTAAATTTTTAATTTTGACCAAAAATCTGAAATTTTGGAAGTCGTAAAATGGCAGTATACATTACATAACATTCTGCATACTATGTATCCTTTTTGATTTGACTTACCAACGGCTACAACCTTCCTCTGATAGTCATTATCCGCATCCAGTCCATTTAGTATAAATGTGATACTTTCTTCACCAAGCCGGGCCAGTTGCTGCGCACAGAGGGAGGTATTCTTTTTCGAGTTGATGCCGCCGTCCTGAATTTACTTTATTTTACGCTAAATTTCCTTGAATTTTCAGTGGATAAAGATCCCGGCGTGCACCTTGTCCCTTCCAAAATCTCGTCACCCCCCTTCTGCTTCTTATCAATTTTGCCACCGAGAACCCACATAAACCATGTGGTCATAAATTTTGTTTGAAGAATGATGAGTGGGCTACTCAGGAAAATTGTTGCGAAAATATAAATAAGCTTTTCAATCGTTAAAACTGCGATTGGTATGGGAGTTAAATAGCATTAACGTAATTACCGCGAAAATCGGGAATATACGTTCCGCCTGAAATTGGTAGAGAAGGATGCGGGATGAATCCGGGACGTGCTAAAATAATGTAACCCTGGGGAGTAAAAATTGAGTCTACTTTCATGGCTTCCTGGTGCTGGTATTCGGTCTCCATCATTTCATACTGCTCCCATAGATTGGACTGGGAGTCGGATATTCGGACGCTCGCCACGAATATTAGTAAAAATAAAATGCGCATTGTCCAGCCAGAGAATTCCACTTACTGTTGCTATCTATAATTAAGAGTGGCATTAAAAACTGCACAAAAACTGCGCGGTTCTCAGCATAAACACAAAAATAGCGGCGGTTTTCAATGTTTCAGAAATTTCTAAGAGGTTTGAATCTAGCAATCCAAAGTACTGATTACTTTTCAAGGCCGGTAGCGCTTTTCTAGCTCTATAAATATCAAAATCGAGCACCTCACTTATCAGATCCGGCCCGGGAAACGGGGGCAAAATTCATGGGGCGGCCATAAACATTGTAAGAGTTCCGGGGTGAACGGCAAACGATGATTTATGCGAAGAGCGGGATGATTTATGTGATATAGGTAGGGCAAAGGATAGCAAAGGTGGGTTAAGTACAGGCGCATTAATGGTATCAAATGGCTTGAGTTCATAATCAAGTAGTTGAGCAATAAATAATTTTGCAGCGGCACACACTGCAAATATCTCTTTGCTTTATTCTTCAAACTTTTGTTTGATTTTATCTTGCATTTTGTGACAGAAAAATCAAATTGTTTAACTAGGATTTTCGAAATAGCCATAAAAACATTAATATCGGTGTATTGTGCTGGTGTAAAATACAAGAAAAATTAAAATTTCAACCCGATTTTATGGTCATCAGACACGAGGCGTGTGATTTATTGCTTGCCAAATCAAAAATTAACGTCCGACTCGGCAGGGTGTGGAACTGACGGGGGCCACCAGATTATTCACCTTCCATTCTTCCCCTCTTCCTCCCACCTTTTCCATAGCCCCAGATCTAGATAACACAATCCGCACACGCAGCCAGAGCAATCGGCATTTTTCGCTTGTGCTCTAAGCTGGCGGCCCCGGCATCTACGGTCGGAGAACGAAGCTCTGATAATTTCACACGACGCTTAATCGGCTTCCGGGTGTAGAAAAAGGTATAAGTTGGAGGGGAAGATGGGTTGGAATTCGATCGAGAAGTTGGGCGGGGTTGATGGGATGCTAGATTGATTCGCAGCGTTAAAGGGGCCGGAAAGGCATTACTCCGTACTTCGTTTGGGGACCTTGAAAGGCAGAAGCTCAAAATGTCATAATCCCCAATGTTCAAAATCGGGACTTTTCTTTCGTGCGAAGTTCCGTAACTCGAATTTTCGGAATCTCGAATTTTCAGACTTACTACTTCTCATAGCCTCAATAAGTAGAGTTTTTTCAATACATAAAGGTTAAGGTACCAAGAATTGAAGCATCTAATCGGTGTCTCTTTATGAAAATATTCAACGTTACCTAGCAGTACGAATCATGCCTTAATTCCCTGATTTCTCGTGCTAACTCTGCCGAACACGTCTCTCTCTCTCTCTCTCTCTCTTCTCTTGCTCTCTCTGTCTCTTTCTATCTCTTTCTCCCGCCCTCTCTCTCTATCTCTCCCACTCTCTCTGTCTCTCTCACTCTCTCTCTATCTCTCTCTCTCTCTCTCTCTCTCTCTCTCTTTTAAGTTTCAATGAGATTCAACGCGATCTCTCGGCGTTTTTACTCAAACTCTGCGTATCGAGGTGCAAAGTTAGCAAACTGAAAAGATATCATCCACTGAATCCACTGAATTAATAACATATGCTTGATAAGCAAGCAAGGTCTCCTTCAGAAGGCAATATAAAGTCAGAAGGCTATGGGATAAATGCAAGTGTGAATGTCGTGGCGCTTTGGCGCTTTCATGCAGTTTCCAATGAAGCCAGTTTACGTGTGCAATGTTTATTAACAAGCTATCCGCAAAAAAGGCCCTGAATGCAACATGTAGGAGAGAAGTCCATTCTTTGGTCTCGGCCTCCGCCCCCTACCGCAGAGCCTCAAATAGACTTTCTGGAATGGCCAACCGGCATCGGAGTGGACGGACGGCTCCACCCATCCTGATGGCCTGACCAGCGTATATTCAATTACGCTCAACGAAATTACGCAGTGGCTTCGGCATCTCCTTCCGCAGTCCATGCACAAGCGAGAATTTGCGACGGGCTGGCTGTTTTTTGATCTTCTTCTGGATCTCCTGAGATCAAAAACTAAAAGTATTGGATGGTACCGCACCTGCAGTTTCTTTAGGGGAGACATCTTCTCGGCAAGGCGTCGGTTGGCTGCGATCTGGACTTTCATCTTTTCTGAATGAAACTGAAAATTGAGCGGAAGGCTGCACCAACCGACATCTGGGGGGTATTCATATCCGCCGGGATGGACATTTTGCGAATCGACGAGATGTTGGGTGCTGCTTAAAGACACTGAAAAATATACATAAATATACGGTTTTTAAGGCATTTTAAAGGAGTCGTCAAGTCAAGACAGCGGTTTTTTATGGCTTTTTGGCATGTCAAGGCACACCGCGCACGCCTTTGATGCGTTGCTTGTCACGAGCGTGTCAAAACGTATCTATTGTATACTCACTGATATGCTTGCTCATTTGAATATTGGTATCTAGACGTGGATGGATGACAGGTGGGGGTGAAGGCTCATTTTTGATGACATACGGCTTTCCTTCCTTCACCATTGGGACCCAAGTTCTGAAAGCTAATGTTCCCCTGAAACGAAAAAAAGGATTCCAAATTTTTAAAAATACAAAATAAAACAGCTAAACCGTCGTTGCCAATATCAAAAACCGGAAAGTGTGAATGGTCGGTCAGCGGCCCCACTCCCTCCAGGATTTTTTTGGTTTTCTTTTCTTGACATATTGCTGTCAGTAAATGGACATTCAGATGGCCCTTATCTTCGCAACAAGTATGCCGTGGCCCGTTGGTTCAGTTTTTAGCAGGAAAAAGGTGCCACAGGAAAGCTGTCAGTGGTTTTCGAAAGGGCGATTTCAGGTGAAGTAAGAAAAAAAAATCGAATTTAACAGGTTTTACGTACTTTAAAATTTGCACGCTGCTTGAGACATCAAAAGAGCAGTTTTCGTTTCCATTCCGTAGTCACTTGAATGGACGGCGGGCCTTTTCAAACGGTTTATGGCTTTTAAAGTTAACCTGTTGTTATTAATCTTGAGACCACCATTTCAAAAGTTAAAAACCTAGATTTTTCCGCATTTTTTTATTGCCACGTCACTTCAATAACTTTAACCGGGACGAAATCCTACTATATATAAAAAAATAGTTTCTGTGTGTGTGGACACTTTGCATAAAAACCCGGGTTCCAGCCATAACTCGAAGGGAAGAGGATTTTATGGTTCAGAAGTAAAGTGGTTAGGGGTAATCGAGGGCGTAGTTTACTGCGCGCTTATCAGATTTTTACTAAAATGACGTTTTATACCTTATTTTAGCGATTTAAAAACATATGGAAATAGACTAATTTGCATACGGCTATTAATTCGGCTCATTCTGGGCTTTGCGGGGTTGCGAGTCGGTTGCTCAAGTTTTTTCTTTTCCCTTTCCCTAACGTAATTCGTAATATTAATGCAACTTATAATGTGCAGTGCCCGTGTATCAAAGGGCCCCGCAGAGAGGCCAGGGTTGAAAAGTCGCGAAGCGGCTTTTCAACCCTGGTTTCGCTATAAAAAGATGCCAAGTTTATAGTTCAACCCGCGAATCCTTCTGATTTTTATTTATCTTATATTTATTACAACCGCTCGGATCATTCTCCCTAGAGTGTAACCCCTGTTTTGATAACCTCTTGGTTGTACGGTCTTTTGAAGTGTCCCTCAGATTCGATTGATAAGTTTTGGCCCATCGGGGTCAGATGACCTGCAGCAATTCCCCCAAAAACTTCTTATCGATACTCGATGTTTTGACGGGAGCCCGCTCCCTTTTCTGCGTCCCCCTTCCAGGACAACCGCTTTTTCCGAACTTTAACAACCATATTTGCCAGTCGCTCTGTATAAAAGTCAAGTTATGTGTTTGATAGTGTTAAATTTTCAAGATTTTTTCAGCCATTATATCCTGTGATTTCAGGTAATGAGGGCGTTATTACAAGGGTTGCTGGTATTCACTTTTGCTGCTGGGGTATTTGGACGATTACATCTACTGAATCCAAATCGAATTCCAAAATGGAAGGCGTTGAACGATCCGAATCAGGGCCCTATTTATCCACAACCTGAACAAGTTCACATCAGTTATGCAGGTTTGTGGTTTACGAGTTCTTCTAAATTGGCCTCAAAATTAGCTCCTTAACGCGGGCGCTGCGTGTTACATGCGAAAATAAAATTTCGACTTTGAGGACTCTTAAAAGCCAATTTTAAGGTGATCCAACAAAAATGTTCGTCACCTGGTTGGCTTTTGATGACACCGGAGTGGCATATGTTGAATGGGGAGAAGGAAGACATTGGGATCGAAATACTACGGTAATTTCCACCTCCTTACAACAAATTAAAACCAATGCAGGCCCATGTCTACCTTTTCAAAGACGGCCAAAAAGGCTCAGATGATCGCTACATCTACCGTGCCTTGCTTACCGGGATTGAGCCTGGAAAAACCTACCGTAGGATATACACTTGACACTATATGACTCGTTTAGGCTATCACGTCGGCTCTTCTTTCGGCTGGAGTTCTATCTATGAATTTACCGGCTTGAAGGAAAGATCTGGTAATGGCTGTATTGCGAGAATAAGTACAATAAAATTCATAGATGGTGGCTACCGTATGGCCGTCTTTGGTGATATGGGAAATCAGAATGCTCGCTCATTGGGAAAAATTCAAGAATTGGTACAGCGAGGAGAATTGGATATGATTCTTCATGTTGGTATGGCTTTGATTAAAATTTTTTATGTATCTATTACTTTAGGTGATATGGCGTATGATATGAACGAAGATCACAGCGAGGTTGGTAAATTCACGAAAATCTCATTTTTGTAGATGGGTGACGAGTTTATGAGGCAAATCGAGCCCGCTGCTGCTTATATTCCGTATATGGTGGCTGTTGGAAATCACGAGAATAATCAAAACTTTACACAATATGTGAATCGCTTTACGATGCCTGGCTCGGAGAATGGGTTAATGTACAGGTGGAGAGATAATTGAACTTTACTAACTCTACTCGCATGATTTTTGAAAAGCTTTAAACTATAAGTTTAGCTATGATCTCGGCCCAGTCCATTACGTCGTCATCTCAACGGAATTCTATTTCTACACAAATTGGGGCTATGCTCAAATTGGGAATCAATGGAAATGGCTATCTGAAGATTTAGAGGTGATTGAAGTGCTATTTAAAATTGATAATAATTATCCATAAAATTAGAAAGCCAATGCCAATCGCGATAAAGTGCCTTGGATCATAACGATGGGCCATCGACCCATGTATTGCTCGGATTTTGATGGGGACGATTGCACGAAATATGAGAGCATCGTAAGTTTTAAACAGCGTCAGTTAATGTTTTTACAAGTCTATAAACAAATTCAAGATCCGAACTGGACTTCCCGGGACGCACGCTTATGGGCTTGAGAAACTCTTCTACAACCATGGAGTTGATCTCGCCATCTGGGCTCATGAGCATTCTTATGAGCGGATGTTCCCTGTTTATGATCGCACGGTAGTTTAAAACCCCCGTTTTAAACTAACGCTACCTTTAGGTATACAACGGAACAAAATCGCCTTATCTTGATCCGCCAGCCCCTGTTCACGTAGTCACCGGTTCAGCCGTTAGTTATTCATATACAAGCAAAAGAAAAAGCCTTCAAATTATCAAATAATTGTGATTCCAAAAGTAATTTGGCATGTACCGGATAGCTTTACCCATTTCTAATCGATTTTCCAAAAAGCAAAAAGTCTGGGCCGAACCGGGATTCGAACCCGGGACCTCTCGCACCCGAAGCGAGAATCATACCCCTAGACCATCCGGCCACTGGGTGCTGGGGCGGGACAGAGACTAATCAGGCTCGCCCGGCCAATCGAGGCTGCGGCAGGAGCCGAAATCTTGAGTGGGAGTGCTCCCTTTTGTTTGTAACAGATTTTTTGCAATTTGAAAGTTTTGATAGTATTGAAAGCGTGGTGTTTTTAAGAATCAGCGGGTTGTAAAACTAAAACTAGAATTGTTTTTGGAAAGCAATATTAAATGGCCGATTCTAGGGATGCCGCGAAAACACTGACCAATTCGTCAAGCATCCCCCGCCATGGAGCGCTTTCAGGTGCGCCAAATAGAAATTTGAATAAATGATTTTTAGATCTTCTAACTACGGCTTCAGCTTGATGCAAGTCCACAATTCAACACATTTGCATTTCCAGCAAGTCGCCGCCGCAAAGGTGCAGCAAAATTCCCAAACTAATTTTTGAAAATAGGATGAGGTTGAGGATGACTTTTGGATAGTTCGTACTCGTCATGGGAAAATGGGACGTGAAGAGAAAAAAATGTTGAAAAGGTATAAGACTTAACAAAACTAACATGTTGTTTCTAGGCACGGCACCCACATTCCGCACCATTACTGTCATCACCAATCTCACTGCAAGGTCTACACCCCATATGGGGAATTTTAAATGCTAGCAATATTGGAAGCCGCATTGAAGCAGTGTAATAAATGTATTGAATTATGTAATAAATTTTGTAAATAAGCAATGACTAAACAAAACAATATTTATTCAACAAAATGCATGGTTACCCTTTTTTAATATTGATAATCTCGGGTTGAACAAGCCAACGATGGCGGCAAAGCGGGCATTGTCTAAGATTTTTGTTAGAATTTGTCCTATCCAACTTACTCATAATTTGCACTGCCCAGCACGTAACGCAAAACATCGTTGTTCGAACCTCCGCGGTACCAGCACGTGACACAACTAAAAAAAAGCTACTTGACTTTCCAGGTTAGACTTACTCTCTGCACCCTACCAGCTGCTTGCAATATTTACAGCCAACCGGATCTGTCGGCTCATCTTCAAAGCATATTGTACACCGGGTGATTTCGGTCTGATAATTTTAGAAATGGTACCTGGACTTTGATTTAACTTACGAGAACTAGTATATCATCACGATTTTTTGGTACAATTGCTCTAGGCGGGTTATTAGGTGCTGGTCGGTCGACATCATTCCGTAGTAATTCCTAGAAAACTTTTAGTAAGTAACAGCAAAGCATGGCTACGGCTTTAGAACCTGATTAGGGATAAATTTTACCTCGACCGCGACACGCAACCGAACGCTAGCATTTTGGCGTAGTGTTTATAGCGTTTTGCGCTGCGTAACGATTTCAAAACCCTACCGCCAATTCCCGTATAATCCTATTAATATGCTCATCCGCAGGAGGGCTGCTGGTCCTCGCCTGGCTTCCAAATTCATTTTCATACAGTTCATCCTCAATATCCTAAAACACATGCTTTACTCAAATGCCGTGTCAAACCTGCAAGGCCCTTGCCAGAGCTGCATCATTTTCAGTTTGTCGTTCCACCTCGGAGTGACTAGGGCCTGGCGAGGAAACTGGAGTCTCATTTCTTGCCGCTTCGGCAGCCATGTTAAATTCTATCATCGAAACGTTAAACCGGGTTTTTCTACTATACTTGGTTCCCAGTTCGGCGCATGGAGGGCTTCAATTTTTGCGAGCATCAGCGCAAATTCACGGTCTCGTCTGACTTGCTCGGAATTCTGAAAACCTTCTGTGGTTGCTAGCGAATCTAGAATTTGTAGAGATATCGGAAAAATGGTGTAAGATGAGCAAAAATCAAACATTACATACCTCTACCCGCGGCGTTCGGACTGTCTCTTGTGGTATTCGAGGCGGCGATACCCTTGAAGTTGATGGTCTATCAAACCCCTCTAGAGTCTACGATTTCAAAGTTTGTTTGAAACTAACCACTTTCCAAGTTTATATTTGGTTGTCTTGAGGTAGAAGGGCGGTCATCGCTAGCTTAAATTTATGGTAAGCTTTTTCTAAGCACCCACCAATTTCAGCCAATCTCGTTGTTGGAGGTCGAGAAATCAAGGTCCGTGGCTTCGGGACCGGCCGTTGCTCCTTCTGCGGTACCTGATATACTTTAATTTTGACTCTAAGATGTACCTCCCGAATCACTCTCGTCGCCGTGCCTAATAAGTTTTCGTATCGCGTATTTTCTACGACCGGAGGTGCCAAAATTCTTGGCGGTTCAAGCGATGAAGCACCCGTTGATGAAGCCATAGAGGTGGATTCAGAGTTGGTTGATGAGTCAATATTTGGGGTATAGCGCTTCGGGTGCTCTCGTAGGTGACTGTGCGCGTTTTCACAACGGAGTGGCCCCAATTCGCTTTGTTTTACAGGTAGGATTGGTTCTAGATGGGTTAGAGTTTATAAACCTTAAAAAATTTCCTGACCTGGCGCTTGTCGAACGGGAGGGGATGGTCTTGGGGGTACGGTGGGTTCTTGAAGTTTTTCTTTTCTCTAGAGAAAAATGGTTTAGGTTTAGGGGTTTCTTACCTCACTTCCGGGTTCTGCTTTTTGCTTCGAGTGCATGTGTTTCCGGCTGAAACACATAAATAGCCCCGGCTTTGCAGACATAATATGATGTAATTAAACTTTGTAGTTCTTAGGTTCTGCCGAAAAATAATAAAATAGATTTCAAGCGTAATCAAGTCCCCCCCTCGAAATCAAATAGTGAAAATGAACTCACAGAAAATCTCTTATACCCATCGCCCGTCACCGTCTTTGAGCTTAAACTCAAAATCGAGCGGGGCAAGAAAATTGATGCGAAGGTAAACACGGCACCCAGGAGTTTTCCTGTCTCGGACCCTTTTGCTTAAAACAGATAAGGGACCATTTTTGCCAGCGCACGGCCATTATCGAGGCTGACTCATTTTTTTTGTGGGGGCCCAATTTGCGTTGGACTGAACTTGAGGTGAGGTTTACTCATAGTTGCGTTATTTTAACTAGTTAAGGGGAACCCTGCTGACGCCGAAAATCAATATATACAGGGTGTCACATGTACGCATCCGGAATTTTACCTCCTCATACAAACCCTGACTTAATACGCAAATAATACAAACCCTGACTTATAGCGCCATGGCTACAGTAGTTCTCGAGTTATATCGAACATACTTTTTTCCGCAATTAAAATTTTTCGGCTCTTTTTGGACATTGCATCGTTTTGTATCAACTTCCTGCTGCGAATCCTTATACCGCTCAAGATCTTGGGCAATTTTTCTTTGTAAAAATCAGTTTAAATCAGCGTTTATTTAATTAAAAAAGGTTGTTGTTATTCAGGGTCTGATACAACTCTGATTTAATTTTGAAACCGATCGGATACTGGAAATTCAGCTACGAAATTGATCTGTGTCCGATAATATACCGAATTTCTGCAAGCGGGGTTTGTCGCTTTTTATGTGCTTCTTTATCGAGTAGTTTGTAGTTCTATATTTTTGCATTTACGTATATTCGGTTTAAAGACTTGTAAGCTTCTAAACTAACGGTTTATTCCTGGGATACCCATATGCGTTTGATTCTGCCAATCTACTGCGGCCTATCGCTACAATATACCAGTAATTCGGGGGGTCATTTTTTGAGCCGTTTTTGTATAGGTTGGGAGAAAATATAAACAAGGCACGATTATTTCGGGGTGGAGCAAAGAGATGACAACTTGAGCAGAATCTCAAAGTAAAGTGATCTAACCGGGGGAGCTGATTAAGCCGTAACTATATGTACAACAGACAAAGAAAATTGGGGGGACTAACAGGGAGTGAGGGGTGGCTAGCTAACAACCTAGAAAAACTAGAAAAAAGCTTTCTGCCGGGAACAGAAAACGGTAGTCCAAATTTTGGATTGGACAATAAATAGGGGCTTGCAAGGCTTAGGGCCTAGAGCTTTGGCTTTCGCTTTTTCTGATCTCCTTGGAACTGTTGGACGTAACGGACGCCGAGTTCACTGGCTTCGGACCACTGAAACAAGATGGTTAACATTTTTTACGAAATTTTGGAGCTTGTTAATGCTATGTTCTCCTTACCTTTTTGAAAGTATTAACATGTCGGAACAACCTCTGCTTCGAACGGCACCAAGATTCTCCAAGAATTACCTAGAAAGCTTTTTACTCCACTTTTAAAAAACAACTAACCTGTAGACACACCAGATCCACCTTCTCCTTTTGAAAAATCTGATCCACAGCAATCGAATAGTTCATCAAACGCGAGAGGGCGTTCAGTTGTTTTGGCTAAAAATTACTTGATTTTTCATTTCTTTTCCAATGCTGCAATTCAAGGTATATTTTTATTTGGGCCGGAAGCACCCCTGTCGGCTTTTTGGTTGCAAAAACCCGGGGTTCATAGATCCGTTTGGCAAAAAGAGGAAGATTAATGTTATCCAAGCGGCGACTCGAGACCCCCGGCGTCAGTTGCTTATAACTTGTTTACTCGGGGTCCTCGGAATTTTAGGAGGATATGAGATGCGGAAGTAGAGGGAGGAATCAGCTGATCTAATCCAAATGATAGCCCGGAAGTGTCAGGAAAATCACTTTGATTTTTTTATAAACTTACATTGCTGGTAATGGTGAACTGCTTGAGTCTGGGGAAGAATGGGCCGATGAGAGGATGGGGTTCGAAGCGGGAAGCTACGCAATGCTCCGTGTACGGGACTTTCCATCCCGGACGGCGAGACTCGTTGAGTAATCGGAGGAGTTCCGTTACTTTTTGATTGTTTAGCTAAAATAGAAAATAGAAAACTGCATTAAACAAAATTAGCTTACGTCTTTCAACAACAATTCAATGATCGGGCTGTCCATATGAACAAATTGGACGGACTGGCGGAAGAACTGGAGTAGTTTAATAAGGGCAGAAATGTCCTACAAGAATTCTTGAGATAGATATGTTAGAATTTAAGCTACCTTCCAAGAAGGCTTCGCATCGACAGCAATCCCCAGAGTTTGCGCATCCATAGCGCAAAGTAAAAGGCAAGCTGAGGGATGCCAGGTGACGTCTTCTAAAAAACAATTCTAGTAAAAATTTAGTCAGGTTGAAACCAACCTCCAAGTGGCTTCGTTGGCTTAACTTTTTGCTTGTGGAGGTGGTAGAGTCCCTCATACACCCTAAAAATAATGTTCTATAAAAAAATAATAGAACGTCTACCTGATGTGAACTTTATGATATTGGCTCAAGCGTTCATCAGCAGCTCGCAAAAATGCCCGAGATACGAGGCGCCATCGCAACAGGTCACCCTGGAAAGGAAGAATTTAGATTTTAGGGTTTTGATGAATTGCCAAGTAAATATTTTGATTACTTACCAAACTGGCTTCCGCACAAAACCGCTTCGCAATCTCCGGCTCATTTGTGCTAGAGGGGCCCGCGTCAAAAAAGCATCGCCTCAGCTCGTCGTAAACCGTCAACGAGAGAAGGGCCATACCTTAAAATAAAACAAATAAGAATAAATAATAAAAAATCCATATCAAAACGGGAGAACATTGAACAAATTACGATAAATTAATTAAAAGCAGACTTCAAAAATATAGAACAGATCAAGTCCGGGTGTAGCGCTAAATAACAGAGCATTGAACAAAAATAAGTTTGGTTAGCCACTCCAGGTTTCCTAATTTGTATGATGGGTCGTGCACTAGGGGTGCACTCTTCTGTGTTTCTTTCGCTCCTCGCCCCTTCTCACCCAAAGGTTAAGTGCAGGGAAAAACAAGAAAGCCGGTCAAGACTGGGTTACGAATTATTGTGAGATAGCTGGAAATTGGAGCCAAAGGTTACCTGAAACTATTTATGCAAATACCGGCATTCCAGTGAACGGGGCTGGTTTTTGGTTTTGTTACGATCATGACGAGTCCTGACAGCCCGAAACACCCAGAAAATAGGCTTAAAACGTGGAGGGTGAAAAGGATGAATGAATGGTCGTGGGTATTCGCTTGAGACGGATTATTACAGCGCACAACATCTGGACCCCAAAATCCCCGGTAAAAATAGGGGCATAAAACCTCGAAAAAATGTTTTGACTGTGAGTCAGTGGTTATAGCTGGGGAGGGCGAGGGGTGAACTCGATTTATCATCATTCTAGGAGGAGGAGGAGGAAGAGGAGGAGGAGGACCGGCAAATTTGGGCTTTTTGGCCGGGCGAGAAAGATTTCCGGCTCCATTAGTGGAAACGGGTGGCGGGAGCAGCGGCGAGTAGTGAGGGAGGGCAGAGGAAAACAAATTTTTCTTTTGCTGACTGACTGCTCGGCAATCTGGGAAATGGATTTCAGTGTTCGATGAAAAATGAGCAAGAGACGGATATGATGGGGAGGATGAGGTGGAAAAACATGCCGCAAGCAACGCTCTAGCTCTGGAAAGGTGTTCCAGCACAAAATACCCTGGCCTAAAATAATTTAATTTTAATAGTGATGTGATTTTAATTTTTATAGTTGAATCAGGAGAATTACAGTTTCGAATCTTGGTTGAATAAATAGAGCGCGAAGGGCAATGATATGATGGGGGAGGATGATCCGGAAAAACACCGCGTAACCAATTAACGACCCTCTTCCCTCACGACCTAACAGGTCTCTTAACACAAAATACCCCCGCCGTAGTGAGGAATTGCATCTATTCCTGCAAAAACAGTCTTTGCTGGGGCAGTGCGTCACCCGTGCATAGTTCTCCCTCGTCGCGCACACACTCCCACCCAGATGGAGACTATCTGATTCGGTCGGCGGAGGCTTATCAATTCTTCGCCACCAGCGCTCGCCACTCGGAAATTGATGGATGGTCAGGCCCACGTGGGTATTTCGACGAAATTGCATAGGACAACAGCGCAATGGGTGTCAAGTTCAGAAACTAGGTGTTGGGGGAGGTGTACAAAGTTCAGGGAGGTAGTTTACAGGATGATATAGGATAATGCAGACCTGCTCGTAGTTCAAGGTCTAAAGACATCCTCTGATTGCTTTAAAAGTACCGTAACGGGTCAACGAGTGCCGCAACCTAAGGGAGTTTAGAGGATATTTAGAGTCCTGCGATGTTGCATGGATAATACAGAAGCGCCAAAAATTACAGTATAAAAAAATGGCATCAAAATCCTTACAAAACCCATTAATTTTTTTTACTACTCCTTAGGGGCAAAGTACAACTAACTAATCAGCTGTCTAAGCGAGTGGAAAGTGAGTTTTGGTGAGAGATGGTGGGTGTAGTTTAGTGAACAGCCGGTGGTGCTGCTGACAGAGTCCTTGTCTAGGATGTCACCCAGCCGATCGATAATTGGCAGGGTTCACCCCGGAAGCAAAAGGGATTAACCTCATAACGCCCTAATTATCTATATAAAACGCGTGAACTCCGAATTTAATAGGAAATATGGCGGTCTAAAAATCTAATAATTGTTCTAAATACCTTATAGTAAGAGAAAGCTTCTTGAATTTGATACTTCAGAGCATGGTAAGTTCCCTAATTATTCATACCTTGATCATAACTTGAACTCAAAATAGGATCTGTAATTTATTAAATCGTTGAAAGATTGAAAAAAAGAATAATTTGCCAAGCTAACTTTAGAAGCAAAGAATCGGTTCGAATCCAAATTTGAAATTGTGCCTATTAAGTATATAAAACTAACAAAAATACAAATACAAAGCTAAACCTCAAAATTTCAAACCAGATTCCCAACAAAAAGTCTCAAAAAGTATGCGCAAATGTCTGTGCGGGGCCGTGGTGGTGGTGGCTATGGTTGGTAGAGGATGCTGGCCGAGGACTGGAGATGATTTGAGGGGAGGGCGCCACCTTGGCAAATAGAACGGACCGGGCCCTTTTCTTGCTATCTCTCGGCTCTCTATCCCCACCCATTATCTCTCTGCCACAGCTACTGTATTTGCTTGCCGACCGTCGTGGGACCCGAGATTCACACAGCTGGGGAGAAGCGGCAGGCCGGGTTGAAAAACCGGGGACAGGAGGGTTTCGAGAAGCTGAGCTGGAGCAGGAAGTTTAAGGGGAGGGGCAAGGGATGAAATAGACTATATTTTCGGGCAGTGGGACGCGACGCACGGGCTTTTGATTGCGTAACGGATTGGCCTTCACGCGTCGCGTGGCGGTAAAATTGTTAGAGATTCGTAGAGACCGCAGAGTGCGAGAGAGAGACTGGGAGAGAGAGAGAGAGAGAGAGAGAGAGAGAGAGAAAGATAGTAGAAACTTTTAGAATGTTGCGCCGCAAAACGCAAGGCACTCGAATGGTTTTGCACTGCGTGAAGCATAGTAATGCATTGACGCGTCGCGTGTTGCGTGGCGTTCAAATTTGGGGAAAATCCTAGACGCAAAAGACTTAATAACCTTCCGAACTACAGACAGACCCAAATTCCCTTAAAAACACGCAAAAAGCGGAGACGAACCCATAGATTATGATCAGTGATGAGTGCACCTCAATTCCTCCCGCCTCCCCGAAAACGACCCCGACCATAATAGGTAAACACCGACGAAATCGAAGCGCCACCACCAGCTACCCTGCTTCTTTTTCGACTCCCCTACTCCCCCGAAGCTTTGACCGAAAAAAGTACAGCCTTTGTCGGAATCAAAATGCGCTTGTTGCCAGCTGCTGCCTCAAAAAAGGAAACTTTATGGGGAGGGGGACATGGATGGGATGGAGATAAGGATCAGAAGAAAAATTGGGGAAGAAGGGGGAGATTGGGATGAAGAAATTGGTGGAGACTGGGGGGAGGAGGAAGAGTTCAAAGTGTGAAATGAGCTGAAGATCAGAGTTGAGGAGGTTGGAGTCTGTGGAGGGAGCAAGAGGGGGTATCCTAGGTATACTAAAGAAAACAAATGATTGGACTTTGAACATTGTTTACTGGTGTCTGGTGTACTTTGACCTGTAAAAATAAGTTACGGAACAGCTAATGATAATACATTTTTCTGCTCGACCAGAATAGAGCAAAATGGTGTGCAAAATAGATAAATTTTGCTCAAATTCTTACAGTTTCCAGCATCTTCAAGTGACTCAAGCTGCGAATAGGGCCCGAATATTAGAGAAAAGACGGTATATCTATCTCTTAAATTTTTTGTCAGCACCAAATGATGATATCCGAATCGTCTGGACAACCCCATGGACATACAATTGACGAAATAAATCAAAGGACCTCAGAGGACCCCGAGGCCGAGGTGGCCCGAACAACTGGCATCGCCCCCCCCCAGCTTTCCGGAAAGTTCGAAAGAGGGGAACCGGAGCCAGAAACTCACTTCAATAAGGATCGACAACAGCTGTCGGTAACCCTGTGACTCCCACAACGAGTATCCGTCTAGAAAAAGCTGAAAATAGCCGTCCTGCGAAGGAGCATGAGGTTTTTAGGCAGAGGTATAAGTTGAAAAGGCGACTAAGTCAATTATGTCCAAAAATAAGGCTTAAATCCATTAAGCTTAAGAGTGTTTTTCAAGCTGCAATGTTTAAAACCCGCAACCTGCCCAACCCAAAATTATACGACCACCCGGGGTTTTAGGGAAATATAGCGCGTAGAAAGGAGGGCTCGGCAACTGGACAAAGGATCGTCCTGTAACCGGGTGATAGATGAGGCGAACTGGGGAGGGCGCAGACATCCACAAAATAGAGACAGGCCAGCGCGCATAAAACGCACAGCGAGCGACCACCACATTGCAAAATACAGCCCGCAAATACACAACCTACAAATAGGTACGGAGTGACGGAATGTTCTAGAGGATTTACCGGGTTGTCGAAGGGATTAAGGGCGGATTTGGATTAATTAAAGAGATTGTGGCTAGATAATTTTACTACTTAATAATTTACTACTACTACTACTTTAATACTTTTAAGTTCAAAATTCCACCGTGCAAACTGCCAAACCATTTGCAGCAGGCCTGAAAGGGCTCGTAGACTCTGGTCAAGGCCTGAGCTCTCAGCCAGCCCTCTTCTTCCGTTTGCACCGACGTCACTGGTCTTCACGCTCACATTCGGCGAGGCGAGGGAGCAGCAGCCATTGTGGTTTGAGCCCAAGCTTGACAAGAGCGTCGTGGAAACGTTAAAAGGTAGAACGGGTCGCTATTAGAGGACCAAGCCTTTGAAAATTTGCATACTACGGTTAAAATTTATGATACGAGATATGGAAGGTAAATTAAAATTTAGCCTTCATATGGAAATGTGAAAGGTACAGTAACTTTGTTGGGACCATCATAAACTACCTTACTATCGTAGTCGTAAATCTAGCTGGAAACACCGTTAGAATTCTTGTCTAGTGCTGTTCTAAAGGTTATCAAAAAAAAACCCTAGAAGGCTATCGTCGAAGTCTTCCGGGTTGCTGTCACCATTTTTTAAATAATTTTGTGTTTCTTTAGCTGTTCATATGGTCCGGTTGAGTCTATTACTCCACCAAAATTGCCAATTTTGAAAAGGCCAATTTTTAACTTTTCAAGGTACTTGGTAGGCCGGCGCTCAATCGTGTTAC